TCAACTTTATCTCACGCGCTCATTGGTGGTGTAAAGTTCAAAGCCCGCATTATTAGGGGATAAAGTGGGGGTGTCAGAGCATAATTCATTCTGCCGCAAAAACTGCTACTATCTGCTGTCGTTTGCAACGACAACGCCATGTTATTGCAGTGGAGAGTGAAATCCACGCACTGAGAACGATAGTGAGATTAAATAGTAATAAACAGAACTGGACTGAACCGGCTAAACTAACATTTAGCCTCTCACCTTACAAAATTAATAGGTTTTAACCCCTAATCTTATAAGATAACACTTTTAACCCTTTACCTTATAAAGTTGGTAAATTTTAACCCCTCACCTTACAAAACTGATAAGTTTTAACCTTTCACCTTATATCATGATACTTTTAACTTATTATTTATACGAATTGAAGAAAATAGTCATTATTTAACATCAAGTTTTAATATTCTATTAGTTATGTTAGTTGACTATTAGTTTTGTTAACTGACTGTCAGTTTTATTAGCTGACTGTTAATTCTGTTAATTGACTGTTAGCATCCATTAACATTCTGCTAATGAAACTAATAAATAAAATTGAATTTAAATTTCATATTTTTTATAACGGAATGCTAACAGATGTTAACAATTAACAAACAGAACAAGCATAACATTATAACCTGATGTTAGGCAAGTGTTATTTTCTTTAATTTATATCGATGATGGATTAAAAATATCATAATATAAGGTAAATAGTTAAAACTTATCAACTTTGTAAGGTGAGGGGCTAAAACTTACCAACTTTGTAAAATATCATAATATAAGGTAAATGATTAAAACTTACCAACTTTGTAAGGTGAGAGGTTAAAACTTACCAACTTTGTAAAATAAATGGTTAAAACTGTCATGTTATAAGGTGAGGGATTAAAACCTACCAACTTTGTAAGGTAAGGAGCTAAATGTTGATTTTTGCCGACTGAACCGGTGTAGTGCTCACTTTGACTGTTTTTCGATTTTTTTTAGCTGACGTGTTTTATTATAAAAAACAATATAATTCTAATATTAATTAATATGATATTATTAACTACCTAAATAATTCAATACTTATTTCTTTTTATTGAAAGTAAAAAATTTTGAATTTGAGTCGCATAACACATGGGTAAGATGAGATAATAAATAAAAGATAGTTACCTTTAATTATGTAATTAAAATAAAAAAAATATGATATTATAAATTTATAATATAATTTATTACTACATAATTTTATTTATATTTATTGATTTTTTTAATGAATTACAATTTATCATTAGATGTATAATTATCCGATCACGAAACTTAGTTATATTTATATTTATTGATTTAATAAATTAAATTTGAGTAAATTTGATTTTTGTGGAGGGGATTATGCTTGACACGTGGAGAATGCTGAAGACTTTTTTTTTTTTTTTGACAAGAACAATAATTAGTAAGTTAGAAACTGAAAATTCCATCCCGGACGAGTATGAATGCCACTGCCTCCTGATTGAGGAGCGCGGGCGAAGACTTTTAGGTCTTTCTGCTGAAGTGGAAAAAATGTCTATGCCGTGGCCAGGACGGACTTGGGTTTGAATTATCGCTATGACTTTGTTCTTCCATACGTTAAATATTAGTGGCCATAAACAGTCTCCAAGCTTCATGTTGATTATTTTTAATTGATTCACAAGAATTAATGAATAGTAAAGTATATTTTAATTTGAATTTTATTGAATTATAAAATATTAAGTATTAAATAATGACAGTCTAATAATTAGTTTTTTTTTTTGTATAGATAGTTAATGTTATATAATTTAATATAGTTTAAATTGTAAAATACTAAATTTATTAATAAAATTTGTCTCATAGCATGGTTTGAGTTCACTCATTTACCTCGCTAATTGAGGTTTTTAATGCTTTATTTAATATTAATGATTTAAATAATTTAGTTGTAATCCCTTTTTATTTCAATAAGAAATTTTAAATTCAAATCATATAACATGTAAATATGATAAAATAAAAAATGAGAAAGAGTTATTTTTCATTTTATAACCAAGATAAAAAAAAAAAGTTTCATCTAATATATCTTGTTTATCTCGGTTAATTATTCTATATAAATACACCAAACATATCAAGATATAGATGGTAAATATATTTTTCACTAAATATTAATATATAATGGCCTCGAGTCTAATATTTTCATAAACTTTTTTTTGAACATAATATTTTCATAAACTTTTATTAACTACAAGAGTAGAACTCATAATTTCAAGATTTGTGAAGCCTCAAGTTCTAAGTTTTCAGTCACTTAACCTCAAGTTTCATTGGCTAAGTAATGTTGGTGAGTATAAACAGCGGTTAAGACAAGGATCTTAACACACTTTTCCAATTAATGTTGTTATATGCATGTCATTGATCAAGAATAACATATTTATAAGAACACATCAAAAGAACAAGACAAAAGAAAGTTCAACGAAATATTGTGGATAAAATGATCTCTCTACAGAACATGACAGTTACAGAAAAGGAAGAAAGAACAAACAAAAAAAGGGGAACAAAGCCAAACCCAGAAATCAAAGATAAGATTAATTGTTGTTGTTCCATTATGACAACAATGAACAACAATAATAGGAAAATGGAAAATGGCCAAATTAAGTTCCTGTATTTTCCCGAATTTGAGTGAAACTAACAAGAGTCCAACCCAAGTACTTGAAAGTTGAAAACACTGCCTTTAAAAGCCTAACTAATCGATGACAAGTCCTTATTATCCCGAAATATGCGTTCACGGGTTACCACTCACTTGGACGCATCATCATTCTATTTGTGATTTCGTTTTCTGCACTTCTTCTAATTACAGCACTCAGCAATATTCACTCTAGGTATGGAATCTTGAAAATGATGGATGCGATTTGTCTTCATGATTTGATCTCATTTCTTCTTTAGTGCTCATCTAATTGTCAGTTGACATGTAACGAAGTTAGTTTGTTCTTTTGTAACCAAGACTTGAACATATGATATAGACGTACAATTAATTAGTTTGGTTATTGTCAGTGTCAATTAAAGTCCAAAGTAGGTCATGCCATTAGGTATTGTATGTTTTGTTTAGTTGCACCTCTCCATTAATTAAGCCCTTGACATTGGAAGCGTATTATCAATGTTTTAAAACCTAAATCGGTGATCCTCTCATTTTTAGAATGTGGTTTGGTTTAACTAGTTTAGTCAATAAGTTTAAGTGGTCAGTTAAAAAGTTGATTATTTTTTAACATTTTTGTATTTTTTAAGTACATCTAATTATAAGTTACATAAGAAGGGATAACTCTTCTTATTTCCAAATCTCTTACATCAGACTCAAAATTCAAACTTAAGATTATTTTCAACTTAAAATTTCAAATTCTTAACTATTTTGTTACTCTATTGTAGTTATTTTTGTACATTTTATTATTGTACACTAATGTTACATTATTTGCAACACTACTAGAATTCATAATTTCACTTATGAGAATTCATTTGTACTCGAAATAACATAAATTAATGTAAATTTTACTGTTTTACACAATAAAGACATGTTCTTTGTTGGTAAAATCGTTATTGACCGACAAAAACTCTCACGTCGATGATATTTAGTTGGTGATATAAAGTTTTTTAGTAGTGCAAGAGATAATTACCTAAAAAATAACTTGTAAATCACTTTAGAAGCAACTTAAAAAATTGAATTCGACAAAATACATGCAATTTAAAAAGATAAAATGCTTTAAAAAAAGTAAAAAATTTTAAAAATTTTCTGATACTAATTAGGTTGAGTCATCCGAGTTATTTAATTAATTAGTTTCTAAAAATTTTACTGGATCAATCTTCAAACCAAATTAGAATATTTACCTGACCTTTTTAGTAATCTGATTTATTTTAATCAATTAAACCAACTAAATCAGGTCAGGTTTTGGCACTTGGTATTCAGTCCAGTGGCGTCAAGTCACGTTTAAGTGTACCTCCCCTCTTTCCAGACAATAATTCGAATCCGACCCCTTACAAAATTGTTCAAAAAAAAAAAATCAGGCTAGGTTTTGATACAGTGATATTTATATGTATTGCCCTCAACATCCACTCATACATTCATCAGTATTACAGGCATGTCCTTTTGTGCCTTTGCAGCCTTTCACAAATACAGTCCGGTTGCCATAAAGGAACTAGTACAACGTACCAACGCTTCATTGATGCAATATCTGGTACCTGAAATTGGCCTTATTTTGCAGACCCCCAAATTTAATTTCAACCCTCCCTTGGAAAAGCAAAGTTGTCCTTATCATATGAAAAAGCCAAGGCCAAAACAGTAAATGCGAATCATAACACTGTCCATCCATAACGGTTATTCCCTATTTCCCTGTATCCCCCAGCCCGACGTTTTCCGTTTTAAAAAACGCCATCCCTCTCCCTATCATCGCATTTTGTAATAACGGTGGCATTATTGGCCGTCACTTGGCTATATACAGCATCCCCCCATCCTTTCCCCCCTCTTTCTTTATTCAAAGTTTCCTTGTTTGAACTTCTTTCTGTTTCCCTCTCTCTTTATATTCAGAGTCTCTGTCTCTGTTTTGTCCATGCATCTGCGTGCAAAGAAAAAGATTTTAATGGTTTCGTGAAGAGGAAGACTGGTATATTGGTCTGTTTGTTTCTGGAGAAAAATAGAATCAGAGCTCTCTCAGTTTCTTGGGTTTCCCTTTTCTCGAAATGGGTAAGAAAGAACAGAGTACACAGAAAGCAAACAAGAGAGTTGAAGCTGTTCTTCAGCTCCTCAGAAAACAGGGTCCTCTATCAATGAAACAGGTTGGATTTACCAGATCTCTGTTTTCATAATCTAACATAGAAGTTTTTTTTTTTTTTTTTGAATAGTCTTTTTTGACTGAGAACTCTGTTTTCATTGTTGTTGAACAGGAGAAGTTCTGTAACAATGGTTGTGTGGAGCGGTTTTTGAGGGCCAAAGGGGATAATGTGAAGAAGGCTGCAAAGAGTTTAAGAGCTTGTCTTTCTTGGAGGGAGAGTGTTGGCACAGGTACCACCGTTTTCTTGTTCTACTCCATAAAGTTTTTTGCTCTGTTTTTCTGGATCTTTTTACACACATCATATGTTTGCTTTTTGTTTTCTTACACATTCCACAGTACTCGAATCTTTGCTTTTTCATTTTGAATTAAACGTTAAAGTATATACAAATTGTCCGTTAAAGCCACTAATTCAAATTACAAACAACCAAAAAAAAAAATTTCTTTTTCTTTTTCTTGGTTCTTAATCTTTTACTTCACGTTTTGGAAACAGAGAATTTGATAGCAGATGAGTTCTCCGCCGAGCTGACGGACGGTGTTGCTTATGTCGCCGGCCACGACGATCAGTCCCGGCCTGTTGTGGTAACTTTCTCTCATATCTGAAATAGAAAACCCGATTGCAAAAGCTCAAGAAATGAAGGAAATTTCCATTTTTCTTTTTTATTTTTCTTCTACAGATTTTCAGGATTAGGCAAGATTACCAGAAATTTCACTCACAGAAACAGTAAGTAACACAAGACTCTTTTTCCTTTTCTTAAATTAAAAAAGAAGAATAAAAGAATATAAAATTGGTTAATTCAGGTTCACCCGTTTGCTGGTTTTCACCCTGGAAGTAGCCATTGCAACGATGCCGAAAAAGGTCGAACAGTTTGTTCTCCTCTTCGATGCAAGTAAGTTGACCATACTACCTTCCTAAACTCCGATGAGTCTCTGTAAAAGTATTCAAAACGGAGATTACTTTTGAGTGTCATTTTCACTAAACCGGGGGCTAAGTTGTAATAAAGAAACGAACAGGCAGGGATGTCGGAGCTCCGGCAGGGTTCTGAGACATCCTCAGACAATGTCCGGAGTGCCCCTCTGAAGTGTCACGGTCATTCCTCCATAATTGGCCGTAACAGGAGGGCTAATTCGGGAATTGGGGTGATGAAAAAGGGATAAACCCTGATTTTATTCTTTCCTAGAATTAGTCAATTTCAACTGCAACTTCCATGGGAAAATGTGCTGCCATCTTCAGCCATGCCATGAATCATGATACCTCTTTTCTCGCTTTGCTCGTATCCTCCCTGCCCCCCTGTCAGCTTTTTGCATTATTAAAAATACATTCCTATAAATTTTGAATTTTTTATTTAATTTTATCTTATGAAATTTGCAGGCTTGTTCAGATCGGCGTCGGCTTTCATGAACTTCTTGCTATCATCCCTAAAAGTCGTCGCCGATTACTACCCTTCTAGACTTTTCAAGGCCTTTGTCATCGACCCACCTTCTCTTTTCTCCTATCTTTGGAAGGTAAATTTCAAATCTTTCCTGTAAAATATGTCCTAATTTTTTTAAAGTCAAAATTTGTGTTGTTCATTTCTTTTGTGGGTCCTGATTAGTTTCTGTAAAATTTGAAAATTTCTAAATAGTTAGGCGTAGACTATATATTGGAAAAAATTATTTTCATACTGCATTGAATTATATAATAGAATTATATAATATTTATTAGATAAAAGAATCTTAGTAACAGGGATTCTTATTTATAATAAAGTAATGATTTTTGGACTGTATTGTAATGGCAGGGGGTGCGTCCGTTTGTGGAGCTATCAACGGTGACGATGGTGGTGTCGTCGTTGGATTTCGAAGATTCTCTAGAATTCGACGATTTTACGTCGTACCCTCGAGCGGCGTCACTCCGGTTTGATCCGTCGTCGATAAAGTCGACGGCGAAGGTTGGGTCGTGCTCTTCCTCTCGGTTTTCTTTTACCGTATCGCCCCACATTGATTCGCTGAAGCCGTGGTACCTGAGCTTAACCGACACATCAGCATCCAAGGTCGGACCCACCAGTCCCTCACCTCTGGGCCCCTCTCTGATCTCCCCGCTTAATGCGCGGTCACTGTCGTTCGCTTCGCCCATAGCCAGGAGTACACCGATCAGCGCGAGGAAAAGCCTCTTCCCGTCAACCCCACTGCCGCAGCGCCCCACGAAGGTCGGCGGCGCAGGAGCCAGCAATCCGAGGACATCGCGCCCTTCTTTCCTCCAGTCGCCGGCCTTGTTCTTCCGACGGGAGAGCCACGTCAGTAGCAAGACCCAGAATACCCGGGAGTCGTTCTCGCCGTTTTTTAAGTTCTACAGAAGGCCCTACGACGAGATGATTTACAGATCAAAGATGCGGCCCCCACTCGGTGGTCTCATCTCTATCGTCAAACGCCGCCACATGTCCGTATCTCAACGGTTCTAAATCACCAAGAAAATCAAACCCCAAAAAAAGGAGGAAAAAAAATGAAGAGAGTAAAAGAACGAGTACATAAACTTCCATCCCATTAACTTGTATTACATGTACTGATGAGAGAACAACTTATTAATTATTACATGGTATTACATTACTAGTGCTAATAATTGATTGATTATTTGGTCGAGTTCGTGTTTTCCTGAGACCGCCTCGGGCAGTGATAATTATTTTCTGCGACCGTGAATTTATTGGAAGGGAAACGCCGTGCGAGGACGGGTGTGAACTGTTGTGCCACTTGTGGCATAATCAAATGGTTGTGACTTGCGTGAAAACACGGTTTCGTGGTCGAAACGGCGATTGATTTTATATCGGAAATGATCAATTTAGTTATCCCACCAAGACCAAATCATGCGTTGAAAAAATGAAAAAAATTAAGAAAGTTGGAATTTTGGGTTCTGGGTTAGAAAGTCTAAGACTTGTTTGTTTGATTAAAATAATGAAAGAGTTTGAAAATTTTGATTATGTAATAATCTTAGTCTTTGTACTGCTAGTTTAGCAGTAATATTATGTGTTGGTTTCAGCGATGGCAGTGTTTGGGTAGGAATATGTGTCATCTTTAAGATTTTAAGAAGTGAGACTTTAAAGAAGTCAAAGGTGAGGAGAAGAGAAGGGTATTCTTTTAGTGTTGGGAAATGAGAGGACCACAGCATTTCGATAAATATAGGAAGAGGAGGGATTGTTTATCAGGTGAGGGTTTTGTCTTGTTGGAGATGTCGTCGAGGCATCGAGGTTGGGTGTGACGTTAGGAGGATTTGGAGTTTAGCCTGAGATGAGGTTGGTAAAAATGGACAAAAGAGGCAGTGGAACTGTGGAAGTGTGTGTTTGGAGTTTCTTCTTTGTTTTCTGGTGAGTTTGAGTTGGACCTTTTCCTTTGTTTTTAGGGTAAAATGGGATTTTGCTGGATTTTACTGAGCTGAGCGACTGATGCATATCTTAAGGTTTATTCAGTCCCTCACTGAGATCACTGCATTCTCATTAATTTCTCTCCTTCAACTAGTGGTTGCTCTGCTCTCCATTTTTCACTTCTGTGGTGTTTTGAATATATGGTTTTGGAAGAAAGAGCCCAACAACCTTTGTAATTAGTATCTAAGAGATAGATAATGAATTTAAGTAATATGATATGTAAATAAAATAGATTACAGAAATGAAATAAGATAAGGTATTAATTAAGCAGATGTATGTATATTTTTTTAATTTCTCAAAGGTTTAAAATACATCTTAGGGAAACATTACTATTTAGCATTTAAAGGTTTAAATAAACAAATTTTGAAAAAGTAAGGGTCACTTACTATTTTCAATTTCTTGTATACAACTTACTTTCTTTTAATTAAATGTTTAAAATAAATTTCTCCCAAGGAATTTTCGAAAGTAAAAAGTACTTAAAAGCAATTTTAAAAACGTCACATCCTCACTTTTAATCCCTTAACTTTTATATGGTCCCCAATCTTTTACATATCTGTTTCTACAAAAAAATTTGTGTTTGTGTTTTTTTTTTTCTTCTTTCTGATCGGATCATGATTATTGGATTTATCAGTTGTCTACCTACCATTTGCAAAATAGCTACATTATGGGTTTCAAATATTTTCATAGAATTGCATTTTTGTTTGATGCTTCCAACTTATTTTTAAAAGTTTTTTCAAGTTTGTTTGTTAGGAACTAAAAGTGTTTTGGTTCAGTTCATCCTTTTTTCTCCACGGCTCCACCTATTTGCTAAATATTTTTATGTTTGTTGTGCTTTTTCC